CTTGCTTCGTTTATTATTTCGAACTTGTCTATGTCGCCATTTGAAAATCCTACAACAACTCATATATGTAGGAGTCACATTATTTTCAGTAGTTTTTTATAACATTTTGATTTATTACTTTACATTTTCTCCTCCTTCGAAACTTAGAACTCATTTAAATAGGACATTAGACACATTATAACAGCCTTTCCATCATTCCATTCTTCGAGAGTTGTCTCGACAGCCATGTGGAAGTCATAGAACATCTTATCCATACAGATTATTCATGTTTGGCGCCTTTACATAAACTTTTTATCCGTTACCAACGAGTTTTTATTCGCTAAACAGAAAACTTACTAAAATAGCATCATTTAGACATTGCACCAGCATTTCTTCCTTTCAAGCTTCAGAAGTAGTATGTTCGACCATATGGATCTCATATAACAACTTATAACTAGTAAGCATATCATTTCATCACCAATTTTGTTCCCTTTTGATCCATCGATACTATAGATTTTCACTTCGTTCAAAACTGAAAACTTATTAATTAAGCGTCATCGACATCTCCCGAAATCGTTTCCACCATTTCATGCTTCGTGGGTAGTCCATGCATATATATGCACCTCAGATAGCAGCTTACCTATAGAATCTGATAATTTGATACATTACTAACCATTTTGACCCATCATGGTAGATTTTCTATTTTTGCGAAACTGAAAACTTGTTTAAATAGCATTATCGACAAGTGATAGAAGCCTTGCTTCGTTTACTGTTTCGAAGTTGTGTATGCCGCCATTTGAAAATCCTACAACAACTTATATATGTAGGAGTCACATTATTTTCAGTAGTTTTTTATAACATTTTGATTTATTACTTTATATTTTCTCCTCCTTCAAAACATAGAACTCATTTAAATAGGACATTAGACACATTATAACAACCTTTCCATCATTTCATTCTTCGAGAGTAGTCTCGACCGCCATGTGGAAGTCATAGAACAGCTTATCCACATAGATTATTCATGTTTGGCACCTTTACATAAACTTTTGATCCGTTACCGACGATTTTTTATTCGCTAAACAGAAAACTTACTTAAATAGCATCATTTAGACATTGCACCAGCATTTCTTCCTTTCAAGCTTCGGAAGTAGTATGTTCGACCATATGGATCTCGTATAACAACTTATAACTAGTAAGCATATAATTTCATCACCAATTTTGTTCCCTTTTGATCCATCGATACTATAGATTTTCACTTCGTTCAAAACTGAAAACTTATTAATTAAGCGTCATCGACATCTCCCGAAATTGTTTTCACCATTTAATGCTTCGAGGGTAGTCCATGCATCTATATGCACCTCAGATAGCAACTTACCTATAGAAATCTGATAATTTGGTACATTATTAACCGTTTTGACCCATCATGGTAGATTTTCTATTTTTGTGAAACTGAAAACTTGTTTAAATAGCATTATCAACATGTGATAGAAGCCTTGCTTCGTTTATTGTTTCGAAGTTGTCTATGCCGCCATTTGAAAATCCTACAACAACTCATATATGTAGGAGTCACATTATTTTCAGTAGTTTTTTATAACATTTTGATTTATAACTTACTTTTTCTCCTCCTTCGATACTTAGAACTCATTTAAATAGGACATTAGACAAATTATAACAGTGTTTCCATCATTCCATTCTTCGAGAGTAGTCTCGACCGCCATGTGGAAGTCATAGAACACCTTATCCACATAGATTATTCATGTTTGGCACCTTTTCCTAAATTTTTTATTCATTATCGATGATTTTTTATTCGCTAAATAGAAAACTTATTTAGATAGCATCATTTAGACATTGCACCAGCATTTATTCCTTTCAAGCTTCGGAAGTAGTATGGTCGACCATATGGATCTCGTATAACAACTTATAACTAGTAAGTATATAATTTCATCACCAATTTTGTTCCCTTTTGATCCATCACTATAGATTTTCACTTTGTTCAAAACTGAAAACTTATTAATTAAGCGTCATCGACATCTCCCGAAATCGTTTCCACCATTTCATGCTTCGAGGGTAGTCCATGCATCTATATGCACCTCAGATAGCAACTTACCTATAGAAATCTGATAATTTGGTACATTATTAACCGTTTTGACCCATCATGGTAAATTTTCTATTTTTGTGAAACTGAAAACTTATTTAAATAGCATTATCGACAAGTGATAGAAGGCTTGCTTCATTTCTTGTTTCAAAGTTGTCTATGCCGCCATTTGAAAATCCTACAACAACTTATATATGTAGGAGTCACATTATTTTCAGTAGTTTTTTTATAACATTTTGATTTATTACTTTACATTTTCTCCTCCTTCAAAACTTAGAACTCATTTAAATAGGACATTAGACACATTATAACAGCCTTTCCATCATTTCATTCATCGAGAATAGTCTCGACCGCCGTGTGAAAGTCATACAACAGCTTATCCACATATAACGCCCTGGCCATAAGTTTCAGTCTTAACACGAGTTCACCTAAATATCATTCACATATATTTACTTGTTTGTATAAATAGTACTCCCTCCATTCCAAAATAAGTGACTCAATTTTGTACTAGCTTTAGTAAAAAGTTACTACAAAGTTGAGTCACTTATTTTTGCGACAAAGGGTGTAATAAACTGGTAGTACCTATGATCCAAAATCTTGGTCCATATTAGAATTTTATGAGCCAAGTGTCTCTAATTTTGACCATCTATAAAGAAAATACTATCATCTGAAACATCAATTATATTCATCATAAAACGTAATTTTATAAAGTAATGTGAGGCAACTAACATGCACATAACTTCATGATCAATGTATCAACACCAGGACCGTGTCAAATCCTAAAAAAACTATATTCAGGAACTGATGAAGTATTCAAGTTGTATGTGTGTGTGCTTCAGCCTCTGTTAATCATGATAATAAACAAGACAACGTACGAGTTACATATTAAATAAATGAATAATATGCATGTGCATGATGTCTGCTTTAGTAGATAATAATTAGCGAATGGCTTTAAATTTCTCTACTACCATTTCTTTTTGGTGGTGCATAACTTTTATTCCTTATGAATATAGGTTATCTTTGGACTTGGGTCAGACAAATATTACATATTAAACTGTAGATATTTTACCCACGTTGATAACATGAAATTAACACTACTATATCAATGTGCAATGTACTTTCATAGTGTAGTATTACTTTCTTTTGAAGCAACAATTTTTTTTGTAGAATTGGATTGAGAAAGCTTGTTTCACCATGAAAACTAAAGCTAGTACAAAATAATACATTTATGGTCAGAAGGAGTATTAGTTTGGTTTGTTCGCTGAACTAACATATTATTAGTAAATGAAGGAACTAGATAAGCTGATCACCACTTCCAAATGTTATGTTCCCCTTATTCAATCTATACATTTAAACTGCTTGTAGGTACTCACTGCAGAGGAGAACGGACATGAGGTTGATGTGCTAAAGGAAATTGGGTTGCAAATTATTCAAAAATGTGACGGTTTACCACTCGCTATAAAAGTAGTGGGGGGACTTCTATGCAGCAAGGATAAATCACGGTTTGCATGGGAAGATGTCCTGAATGACGACATATGGTCAGTATCTCCAACATCAGATGAACTGAACTATGCAATTTATTTTAGCTACCGGCATTTGCCCCATTACTTGAAACAATGCTTCCTGTACTTCTCCCTTAACCCAAAAAGGTAGTGCTAGAGGTCAATGAAACTGTGTCCATGTGGATTTGTAAAGGATTGGTTCAAGGAGGTTCAAATAGCTTGGAAGAAGAAGGTAAAAAGAACTATAAAGAGCTAATATTAAGGAACCTTATAGAGGTCGATCCAACATTTCCTAGCCAACTAATCTGCAACATGCATGATATCATTCACTCCTTTGGTCAATTTATGGCTAGGGATGAAATACTAGTAGCTCACAATGGAGATACTGCCAGAGAAAACCTTACATCCTCCAATTTTCTTAGATTGTCTATAGAAACCAAAGGAGTGGGATCAGATGAAATTGAGTGGAGATATTTAAAAGAGCAGAAATTGCTTAGGACATTAATATTCAATGGAAACCTCAAAATTCAGCCCGGGGATTCATTGACTCACTTCCCAAGTCTACGTCTTCTGCATATAGAATCTGCAAATATTGCTGCACTAGTTGAATGTATTTACCAACTCAAGCACTTGAGATATTTGGCATTAAAGAGGACTGATATGTGTAGACTACCAGAGAACATCCATGAGATGAAATTCCTACATCATATTAACCTTCAAGGATGTAAAAGTTTTATGAAACTTCCTGATAGCATTATCAAGCTGCAAGGGTTGAGGTTCCTTGATATGGATGACACTCTTGTAAATAGTATTCCTAGGGGTTTCCGAGCTCTTACAAATTTGAGTGCACTATATGTATTCCCAGCCTATACTGATGGTGACTGGTGTAGTTTGGAAGAGTTGGGGCCCCTTTCCCAACTCAAGGAACTTTCACTGCAAAATCTAGAAAGTGTATCTAGTGCGATGTTGGCTACAAAGGCAATGGTAAATGCAAAGAAACATCTTACTAAACTTGCTTTAAAATGTGGTGGTAGAGTGGGAGATGGGTTGGTCCAAGGAGGAGTCTCTGAGTCTAAGGAGGAGGAGCAAATAATTGAGGCGGTGTTTGATGTGTTATGTTCTCAGCCTTGCATAGAACATATCTTCATAGAAAATTATTTTGGTCGTCGGCTCCCAGGATGGATGGCATCCACAGCTATGGTGCCTCAGGAGAGCTTGAGGATTCTAGTCCTCGAACACCTGCCTTGCTGCACCCAACTCCCAGATGGCGAGATGGAGTTGGCTAAAAGTGGCTAAAAGTGGACGAGGCTCCAGCAATCAAGTGTGTCGGTCCTGAATTCGTCCAACAGTACAATCAGCGTCACCATTCTTCATCTCAGTTGGCTGCTACGTTTCCCAGACTCCAGAAGTTGGAACTTCACGGAATGGAGGAATGGGAGGAGTGGGTTTGGGAGACGGAAGTGAAAGCTATGCCCTTATTGGACGTACTTCGCATCAATGGTATGCCTCCCGGTCTTATGTCTCATGCAGTGGCTTTGAAGAAGTTAGAAATATGGAATGTCCAACGTCTCCACTCCCTAGAGAACTTTGTTTCTGTAGTTGAGCTCGACTTGGCAAACATACCCGAACTGGCCATGATATCCAATCTTCCAAAATTACAAAAGCTTGGAATCAGTTACTGCAGAAAGCTCAAGACACTGAAGGACATGGATGCACTCCGGAGACTCCATGTGAGAGTTTCTCGCTGGGAAAATCAACTTCCAGTCTACCTGCAAACTGTAAAGCCAAGTCATTTGCTGCTGACCTGCAACCTAGCAGTACTCACTTCCATGGCTGAGGGTGAATCTAGCTCCGAGTGGGACAAGTTCAGTCATATCAAGCAAGTCGAGGCTTATGCAACGGATGGAGAAGATGAGAAGAAATGGTACATGCTCTACACATCTGAATCGTGCAACATACAGACAAATATTCATCAGGTAATACTTTGGTGTCTCTCTCTCTCTTTCAATCTAGCTAAAAATAATATTCTTCCTTAATGTTGTCTGTTCCATGCATATCTATTTTCATCAGTATGATATAGGATAGCTGAATGTATCTCCCACTGTTTTGTTTTGCTTGCCAGGACCGATTGGTGGAAGAAGAGGACTAGGATGAAAGGACCATATGATGCAAGGATATATGTACGTCTGCCGTTACAACTTCTAGTTTTGAGTATTCTTACCTAGTGCCATGACCATTCGAATCTCATGCTTTATATGATGATCCAGCAATGCAGGGCTATGAGGAAAGCATCAGCCATAATGCCATATAAACTTACCTGCAGAGATTCAGAGATGTAAATTTCATGGCAAACGTCTAGCTGGTGAGATTGGCAAGGATGTCCTTCTCCGAAAGCAGCTCAGGTTGCACGTTTCTCTGAAGCAGCTGCGTTTTTTTTTCTTTTTTCGCGGGTGTCTTGTGTTGGTTCTCTGAAATACTATGCTTTTTTCGATAGATCAATCAATAGTATACTGGTATTTCAGCTTCGGATTTGTACTGCAACAACACAAATGACTGTAAGAAAGTGGAGTTTATTCAAGCTCCCGGCTGCTGAATTGTAACTGTATGTCATAGGAATTCAGAATCAGAGTGATGTATACTGGGACCAAACAAATGTTGGTGAGATCACCATGATGACCTGCTGACTGCATGTTCTAGCTATCTGTAGTTTCTTCAATCAGTGCAATCAAATTAAGTTCAGGTTTCTTCTGGGGCTCTTTCTATGCTCTGGACGGAAGCAACTAACTTGGGTTACAATTTGAAAAATAAGTTAATCAATTTTGAAAAACGTTCATAATTTTTTTTAAACGTTCATGAGTTTCAAAAAAATCAGTTCATGGAATTTTAAAAAGAAGTTCATCTATTTGAAGAAAACAAGTACGGATTTGGAAAAAGAAAATTAAGAAAAGGACAGTGAAAAAGGAAAAAAGGAAAAACAGAAATGGAGAAATGGATGAAAAACGTGTATGTCATCACACCTAGTGAGGTGGACGGGTTGGTTAGACGTCGGTCGCTGGTAACCCGCGACGCGGGGCTAGAATCCTAGCTGGCATAGAATTTTTGCAGTTTTCTTCAGTGTTTAGAAAACGAGAGAAAAAATAAATATGGACCGGCCCACGAGTAGTTGCTGCTAACCGGCGCCTGCAATGCTAGATAGGAAATGTTGGGAGGAAATGGGGATGCGCTCGAGCCAAGGACCTCCTGTGTGACGGTGATTAAATATGGGCCGGCCCACGAGTAGTTGCTGCAGCCGCCGGTTAGCGAAAATAAGTACAAACCGGCGCCTGCAGCGCTAAATAGGAAATGTCGGGAGGACGTGGGGACGTGCTCGACCCAGGGACCTCCTGTGTGATGGTGATTCCTATATGATGCTCGTTAGCGTCAAATCCTCATAGCTTCGCTGAGAGCGAGACCTGTCGCTTCCACTTGGGCCGGCCCATGATTCAGCTTCGCACCTGTTTCTTCGTTGCGGTGGTTCCTGTTTCTTTGTTGCGGGATCCTGGAAACCTTCGTGAAGTTTCCTGGCCGGTTTTGGGAACTTTCTAGAAGCTTCCCTACATCTGTTTTTCCTATTTTGGTTTTACTAGGTTTTATTCTGTTTTCAAGTTTTCTTCTTCTTTTTCTTTTCCTCTACTTATTTCTTTCTTTCTTTTTTGCTATTTCTTTTCTCTGTTTTACATTTTTTTACTATATAAAAATGTTCATTGTATATTAAAAATGTATTCAGCTTATATTATTAAGAAACTGTTCATCGTATATTAAGAAATTGTTCACCCTGTATTTTAAACTTGTTCATCGTATATCATGATTTTTGTTCAACGTATACTACGAAATGATCATTATGTATTTGGAAAACTTGTTCAGCGTATATCACAGAAATGTTCAGTGCATTTTTACAAATTGTTCAGCGTATATCACCGAAATGTTCAGTGCATTTTTACAAATTGTTCAATGTATATTACAAAAATGCTCAATGTATCTTTAAAAATTGTTCAGTCTATATAAAAAAATTGTTCATGTTTTCAATTTTTTTCACTTTTTTTCAAAATTCGTGTTTTAGAAGTTGTTCGAGTTTAGATTTTTCTTCCACGTGTCAAACATTATTGGCTTTTTTTAAGGAAATTTGTTCACACATTTTCCCAAGTGAAACTTTTTAAAAGCGGGTCCACTTCTGTAGCTATTACTTAAAAGTTTGCGCTGCTTTTGACCAAGTAGAGTTGCTAGCTCGACTGGTTAGCAACTGTAGTTTGCAGCGTGTGGGCGGGAGTTCCATTCAAGGATCTTGCTTAATTTTTGTGAGTTTTTACATTCAGCACCTACAAATGGGCCGGCCCATTTTGCGTGCTCTTCAGTGTTTGCTGTGATGTTTGCCGCTCGCGAGCGTCCAATAGGACCACTCCAGTGTGACGCTGCTTGCGTCGAAGTCGAAGAGTAAGGGTTCACATAGGCGTAGCACACCTGGGCCGCCCCATTTGACTTTCGCGAGATGAAAAACGAGAAAAAAGAAATACACTCGCGCTGGGATTTGATCATTTGAACCAAGAACTTCACGGTGTTGCGCGCGCTGCCCTAGCGACAGCAACCAACTATGTATTGCGCTAAATGTGCAGTGCAAATGTAAAAGAAACAGACAACAGTAATAAAACTTAATTTACTAAAAAACTCCCAAAAACTAAAGTTCCCCTGAGGGATCAAAACAAGCACCTCCTCCGGATAGGGAACCAGTTCGCTAGCCACTATAATTCCTGGGAATTTGTGTATAAAATTTCAGCCCGATGTATATGAACTGTAAGATGCAACCAATTTAAGCACTTTTGAAGTTTCGAACATGATTTTTTATGGGAAAAGTTAATATTTTTTTAAACGAGAACATTTTCAATATTGTGAACAAAATTTTAAAACGTCAAGCATTTTATGAAAACACGAACATTATTTGGGCTTCTCAGACATTTTCTTGCAAGAAAAACGGAAGAAATTGTTAACGACAACATTTTTCAAAATTAAGAACATATTTGTAAAAAATGCAACCATTTTTTCAAAAGGGAAAAATATTTTAAAAAAGAACATTTCTGAAAATTACGAACAATTATTTCAAAATTTGAATTTATTAAAAAATTGTAAACAATTTTTGAAAATGGGAACATTTTATGAGGATCTGAGTAATTTATAACTAACATTCCACACAATTTTTTAAAAACACTAACAAAATTAGAAAACACGATCATTTTTTGAAAATTATGAAACAAAGTTTTGAACTCCTGAAAAAATGGAGACATGAACATTTTTTGGAAATCAGGAACATTTTTTGAAATTCCGAACAATATTCCACAAAGTTGTGAACATTTAGAAGAATAACGTACCAAACAAAATTAGAAAAATGATCATTTTTAAAAATTGTGAACAATTTTTGAACTCCTGAAAAATGGAGATTTTGTGGACAATTTTTGATACACGATTTTTTTAATTTGTGAACAATTATGTTTAATGGGAACTATTTTTCGAAATTTTGAACATTTATTGCAAAAGTACCAACAAATTGAAAATCATGAAAAAATTCGGATTTATGAGCAAACAATAAAACACAACGATTTTAAAAAATAAAAATAAAATTGAAGAAACAAAAGTAAATTTTAAAATAAAAAACTAAAAAGAAAGGAAAGAGAAGAATAAAATGAAATAGAAACAAAAGAAAAATAATCTGAAAAGGGAAAAAGAGAAAAAACAGGAAAATGAAAAAAAACAGAACAAGGAAAAAACCCGGATATGGAACCTTCTAGAAGTTTCCCAAAACCAGAAAAAACCGGTTGGGAGACTCTAGGAGTGTGTTTGGTTGTAGAACCAAGTGGAATGTAATGTAATGGTTCCATTCCACTGGAATGGAATGGTTCTGTCTTCGTGTTTGATAGAGCTAATGAGATGAAATGGAATGGTTCCATCTCAGTGTTTTGTTAGAGGAGCAGGATGTAATATGTGTCACTAATTATCATTTCCCAACTGCTAGTACGAGTGGTAAACATCGTTTAGCAACTATTAAATTTGTATCAACCAGTAATGGTACTAAGCACCAACAGTGGCGCATCATCAACTAGTAATAATTCGTATCAATCTGGGTGGAAGGATGCAAGGAATGTGATGCTCTCGCCGTCAAATTCAGAAGTACTCGTATCAATTTAGGAAAATCAATCAACTAGTAATAATTAGTATCAAGGTTGCTGCTCACGGAAATCGACAGGCACCAACGACAGCGATGATAGGAACAAGGTGTTGGGGAATGTAGTAATTTCAAAAAATTTCCTACGCACACGCAAGATCATGGTGATGATATAGCAACAAGGGGAGAGTGTTTGTCTACGTACCCTCGTAGACCGAAGCGGAAGCGTTGACGCAACATAGAGGAAGTAGTCGTACGTCCTCCGATTCAACCGATCCAAGTACCGTTACTCCGGCACCTCCGAGTTTTTGACACGCGTACAGCTCGATGACGCACCCTCGATCTCCGATCCAGCAGAGGCGCCGAGGGGGAGTTCCGTCAGCACGACGGCGTGGTGACGATCTTGATGTTCTCCTGTTGCAGGGCTTCGTCTAAGCACCGCTACAATATGACCGAGGTGTAATATCGTGGAGGGGGGCACCGCACACGGCTAAGGAACGATCAATGATCAACTTGTGTGTTCTAGGGTGCCCCCCTACCCCCGTATATAAAGGAGGGAGGGAGGAGGTGGCCGGCCCTAAGGGGGGCGCGCCATGAGGAGGGGGAAACCTACTCCAAGTAGGTTTCCCCTCTTTTCCTTATCTTATTTGGATGGGGAAGGAAAGAGTACTAGTATTAGGAAGTAGTACTAGTAGTAGTAATAGGAAGAGGGGGAAGGAGAAAGGAAAGGGGGGGCCGGCCCCCCTCCCCAATTCGGATTGGGCTTGGGGGGGGGCGCGCCCCCCTCCCTTGCTCCTTCTCTCTTCCTCCTACATGGGCCCAATAAGGCCCATATACCTCCCGGGGGGTTCCGGTAACCTCCCGGGGCTCCAAACTTCTCCGGAACCTTTCCGGTGTCCAAATATATCCGTCCAATATATCAATCTTTATGTCTCGACCATTTCGAGACTCCTCGTCAT